GGTTGGCGCAGGATAGAGCAGGGTTTAGAGCTGTTGTGCATAGGGTCGCTATGAGTCGGAAACGACTCGATGGCACATAACAACAGCAACAATACTTGGAAAGCAACCATAATTATACTGGTGTATAACAGTCAGTACACTTTAAAGAGTTTTATAATTTCTTTTTCTCTATGTACTATTCTATTAAGCTGTATCAATAGATTTAAAACATATTCGAGAGACAAGAAACTATTTAAAAATATTTGCAAGTTATGGAATAGCATGATGCCATTCATAGAATTCCTGATCTGCTTAGAAGACATAATTCTTTTATTAATGGGAAATACAGCAATAATCAGCTATCATTCTTGTGTTTTCAACAAATATGTATTCTAACAAGCATGAGGAAATGTGTGTTATTCCAGTTTTTTAAAAAGATATGATATTCCCACAATAATTCATTTATAGTATATTTCCTTCATATACATTGTGTTCCACACAATCCCTCATTTATATTGTATTTCCTACAATCACTCATATTCATTGTATTACATATAATCAATTACCGTTGATCTGTGTCTGTTATTATACCATCCTTTCAAGTTCCTATTGAATCATTCCCATTCCCTCCCCCCCAGTTTGCCTACTAATATCTGTTATCCTAGAGATTTCTTCCCTTCCCTTTTTTTCTGCCCTGTTTTCTTTCCCCCTTCCCTTTTTCAGAAATTGATATACATTTTTCTAGTTATCCTTTTATTTTTACAAGATGGTCTTATGCAGTATTTGTCCTTATGAGACTGAATTAGTTCACTCAGCAATAATGTTCTCTAGACTCTCCCATGTTATGTAGTAGTTTACAAAATCATTGCCCCTTAGTAATCCATGTGTGAATATATCAGTGTCTCAGTCCATTTGTTTGTTAATGAGCATTTGGGATATTTCCGAATTATTCTTCTTTTGTGAATAATGCTACTATGTATATGTTGTTGTTGTTGTTATGGGCTGTCGAGTCGCCTGTGACTCATAGCTGTGACCCTATGCACAACAGCCCTAAACTCCGCCCTGTCCTGTGCCAATCGCACTGTCTCTGACACTCCCATCCCAATTATCCCAGTCACTGAATCAATCC